CCCCAGAATAATAGATCCACCAGCAGCTTGCACCATGCACCTGGAAAAGCCTCAGACACTCAATGCCAGTCCGTGAAAGCAGCCAGGATGGGGGGCTATACCCTGCAAAGCCACAGGGGCAGAGCTGCTCAAGGTCATGGAAGTCTACCTCTTGCATCAGCATGACCTGGATGTGAGACATAGAGTCAAAAGGAGATCATTTTGCAGCTTTAAGATTTGACTGCCCCACTGGATTTTGCAGTTATGTGGGGCATGTAGCCCCTTTGTTTTGGCCAATGTCTCCCATTTGGAATGGCTGTATTTACCCAATGTCTGTACTCCCATTGTATCTAGGAAGTAACTAACTTGCTTTTGATTTTATAGCCTCATAGGCAAAAGGGACTTGCCTCGTATCGAATGAAACTTTGGACTGTGGTGTTTTGAGTTAATGTTGAAATGAATTAAGACTTTAGGGGACTGTTGGGAAGGCATGATTGGTCTTGAAATGTGAGGAGGTGAGATTTGGGAAGGGTTATGGGCAGAATGATATGGTTTGGCTATGTTCCCACTAGAATCTCATCTTGAATTTCCATGTGTGATGGGAGGGACGTGGTGCGTAGTAACTGAATCACAGGGGCAGGTCTTTCCCTTGCTGTTCTTATGATAGTGAATAAGTCTCATGATATCTGATGGTTCTATAAGGGGGAGTTTCCCTGCACAAGCTCTCTCCCTCTTTGCCTGCTGCCATCCACATAAGATGTGACTTTCTCCTCCTTGCCTTCCACCATGACTGTGAGGCCTTCTCAGCCATGTGGAACTGTAAGTCCAACAAACCTTTCTTTTGTCAATTGTCCAGTCTCAGGTATGTCCTTATCAGCAGCGTGAAAACAGACTAATACACCACCAATACTTTTCCTGTAACTGGTTCCATTTTGCATGTTACTTGGAAGTCCTTTACAATGTTACATAGTTTTACACGCGGAATTCCACAGTGCTTTGCATGTTTTTCTAAAATCATTATACACCTTTATAATTGCCCTTTTTAATGTTGCTTATTTTAGTGTGGTAATAAACAATTATAATATCCTTTTTTTTAAAAAAAGGAAGTATTTAAAGTCATCTATCTAAATAGCACCATGAGAAGTATTACGTATGTGTATTATGAATGGAAATATGTTTGTGAATACTAATTGTCAATTTATATAAATATTTTAAATACCAATATTATGTAATAAATAGTTTAAAATTCTAGTAGCATAAATATTTAATTTGTTTTTCCTTGAGTCTAAAGGACTGGAAGTTTTTATTCAAATTCAGTTTGATGGAAGAATATCTTAAAGTTTAGAAAGTTAAATAGCATGCTTTGTTTTAACAGTTAACTTAGATTTATATAGAAATTTGGAAAGAATATGATATAAACCTTTCAACTAGCACTCTCTTAAGCACCGGAAAAATCATTACCTTTCCCAGTTCTTTCAATTTCTGTCATAAGAAGCATAGAGAACAGAACTATATATTTTGGTAATTAATTTCCTTAAGATAATGTTAGAAACATCATGTTCTTTAAAATATAAATGAATTTCAAGGTGAGCATGCTGGAGGATAATATTAATGGAAGTGATTTATTGTGACAAGAGATCTGATCTGAAATACCATTATTAGGAGTACTTAAAAAAATCCATTTGCAAATTCCTGAAAATATGAAAGTGTGCTATGGCTGAGCCTGTCGCAATGTTGAAATCTGAACTATCTGCCATTGTAGGTACAAAATTGCTTATGTACAATATGTCTTCCTCGCAGAAATTCATCAGAAAATGTTAATATACTGAATATATCACATTATGGTTTAGGGAATTGCCTAAATGCTTCAAATGATAAGTGTAGAATTAATCTGCAAATGTATAGACTGAAACATACATGCCTAATTCCTATATGGAATTCTGTGGCTGACCATTATCTTAAAAAATATTTGGCCAATAATTCATTGAACATCTACTCTATACCCAGTTCTTGAACTCACAATAGAAACCTGTGACTTTGTGTCATTTTAGAAGGCATTTTTTATGTTACAATCTCTAGCAAAGAGTCCCTATAAGCTATTTATAAGCAAGATTCATTCATGACTCAAATTTGCAAAGAAGTTTTAATAAAGTTAGCTTTATGTCTTATAAAAAACATTGAAATTTACAAACACATTGTTGTAAATGGCATCTAATCACATACTGAGCAGTGAGAAATGTCACCAATTAGTAGAGCTATTAATAATAAAAAATTAAATAGATATGTGAATAATAGAAGTCTTTATTATTAAGAAGACTTAAAAATTATTCTGTAGAAAGAAATTTATTAACCTCTGACACTTGGAAGAGGGTAATAAATATTGGCATTCTTACATATAGGTTGTCAAATTTGATTAGCACATAAATATATTGATATACCTCTCTATACATTCAATTCTCCCCTGCCCTCTCACCACGCCGCTACAATTGTCTCCTTTTTCTGTTGCTATGGCTCTCTTTTTCTCTCTCTTTCCCTCTCTCCTCAATAAGTTTAGGACAGTAATGCCTTATAAATTGCAAACATTTATTTTCTTGGTATATTTCTTAGAGCCTTTAATGAACTTTTTTATGTTAAACTCTCTAAGAGGCACACTCCATGTGGTATTATCCAAACACAGCTTTTGCTTTTTTGCTTGAAACCTATTTTAATATATGAATATACACTTCTTTATAAACATAACATAAATAATATATATGAGTATAAATATTAATGCTTCATAGAATGACATATGGGAAAGCATAGGCTACTCTATCTTATAATGTGTTTTGGATACATTAATAGCTATATTCATTTCCAGGATATTCCAGGTATATAATCAAGTGCTGAAATCTATACAGGACATACACTTTGACTGTTATGTCAATGTATTTTTATATGTGTTTCCTGAACTGAAACTAAATCTTGTAAAATAAAAATGTCTATTCTAGGTACAAAGACAACTTATAGGTGTAAAATTTTAATTAGATTACTTTGATTTAATTTTGAAATGCACCTGGAGCAAAATTCAGACAGTACAATAAAGAAAAATACATTTGTCACCACAACCACTTTGCTCCCCTCTCCAGAAGGAACCAGAGTTTTAAAATTTGTGTGAATTGTTCTGAAAATACATGTACATATATATATCCATATATGCATTTATTTCATTTTCTTTATAATAAAAAGTATAGTTTTCTGAACTATGAGGAAAAAAGTAAATCATAAGGTCATGATTTATTTGTAGGGTAAAAAACAAATCAAGGCAATATTTAACATAGGTATTAGATTATACTTTTAGTTACTAAAAACTTTTTTTTTTTTTTTTTTTTTTTTTTTACAGAGTCTCGCTCTGTTGCGCAGAGTGGAGTGCAATGGCGCAATCTCGGCTCACTGCAACCTCTGCCTCCTGGGTTCAAACGACTCTCCTGCCTCAGCCTCTTAAGTAGCTTGGGTTACAGGCACCTGCCACCATACCCTAATTTTTGTATTTTTAGTAGAGAAAGGGTTTCTCCATGTTGGTCAGGCTGGTCTCAAACTCCTGACCTCATGATCTGCCTGCCTTGGCCTCCCAAAGTGCTGGGATTACAGGCGTGAGCCACTGTGCCTGGCCTAGTAAAAATATCTTAATAGGTAAATTTAATGAAAAATTAGATACAAACTCACTAATCATGAAACATTTGCTGTGATGATTTACGCATAAAGTAGTGCACTCAATGCTAATATTTAGAAAACTATAAAACAATTTTGAAATAGTTTTCAACAGCATTTGTTTATTGTGAACCTACATGGGAGAAGATTACATCAATGTACTCATGAGTGACAAAATTGAAATAAATGTAAGAATGTCCAGGGGCCGGTATATAATAAATGATCTGTAACATTTATGGCAAGATGTAAGTCAAATGCAGAGATAATAAAGTCCCTGGCTTTGAATATCAATAGATAGATAAAGTCACTTAAATATCTATACAGAAATGCTAGTTATGGTTTTAACTTTGTGAGCTGAATAGAGTGGAAATGAGTATAAATAATTGAAGCAAAAGACAATTCACTTCTTCTGCCCCACTTTTCTAGGGGAGTAAGGTGGAGAGAGCCTTATTTCCTTCTAGAAATGGGGAAGATACAGAACCAAGGCTTTCCCTATTTCCCTGAGTAACTGTGAAGGACAATGTCTACATTTTTTATTTATTTCTTTTTTTTTTTTTTGAGACGGAGTCCCGCTCTGCCGCCCAGGCTGGAGTACAGTGGCCGGATCTCAGCTCACTGCAAGCTCTGCCTCCCGAGTAGCTGGAACTACAGGCGCCCGCCACCTCGCCCGGCTAGTTTTTTGTGTTTTTTAGTAGAGACAGGGTTTCACCGTGTTAGTCAGGATGGTCTCGA